GATGCCATTGATGCGGTGAAGACGTCCGACTCCACGCGATGTGATGCACCCCCACACCATAACACTTCCTCCACCATGTTTGACCGTCTTCTTCACGTTCCTGTCCAGGAAAGCCTCCCCATCTCTCCTCCGACACCACTGCCTCCCATCCGAGCCAAAAAGATTGAATTTCGACTCATCTGAGTAGATGACCAAGCGCCACTCTGCATCGCCCCATTTGCTGGCCTCCTCCGCCCAGGTTCTCCGCTGCGCCACAACTGAACGGCTAAGGTACGGCTTCTCCCGACGTGCTCGTCCATGCAGGCCAATCTCAGAGAGACTCCTCTGGACAGTGCGAGGGCTGACGGTGGGGAACAGCTGTCGCTGGACATCACTTGCATCACGAGCCGTACCCCTTGCCAGGAGGATCTCAGCATGACGAAGGTCACGGGGGGAGAGGCTGCGAGGGCGGCCAGGCTTTCGGGGGCGGAAATAGACGTCCTGGGCCTTTTTGACTATCTTGTAGTTCCGTGAGGCTGTGGAAGCATTGAGGCCGAGGATAGAGCCGATTTCACGGAAGGACTTTGGCTTGCCAAAGCGGGGGTCACGGAAAGCCAAAATGCGAGCACGTTTGCTGGGGGTACACACTGTCATAGCAACAGGCGTGTAGACAAGGATCTTGTGAAGCGAGTATTAAAAGGATATAAGCGTTAGAGGTCGTGTCATCGAAGATGTTGAAGAAGAGTTGCGCCGGTGCCCAGTGCCAGCGCATACCAAATTAGCGCTGAAACATGTTTCTGGCCAATTGTGTAAGCATTGTATTGGAGTTGATATTTATCATCCCAGCACTATACTAAGGGACTCATAGGAATGTATATAACTGCATTTATTCAGTGGTACACTTTGTAGATACGGCGGTACAGCAGGATTTCGGTCGCACGAAGCACCGGTGCACTATTTTCGGCAGTCACTGTATCTCACAATATGCAATACAGACCCGCAATCAGACACGGCCTTCTTTCCATAACAAATACACTTACTTACAACGCATCGACGAGCTTCCCATGGGTCCCGAATGGGTCTGTGATGAGTGGGAGGTTGAGGGTGATCTTGTCGATGAAAATGGTGCGCGCAAGACTGAAGAGATCAAACTGTGGCGACGGGATCCTGTCGAGTGTATCCGCGAGCTTCTCGGGAATCTGGTCTTCAGAGCGTTCATCCGCTATGCTCCAGAGAAGCTGTTCACCAACCATGAGGGGGAGGAGAGAATATACGATGAGATGTGGACGGCGGATTGGTGGTGGGATGTTCAAGTACGTACACATCAGTTGCGCTCAAACTTGAGTGTTCAATCTCACAATTCTTAGGGCCTTCTTCCCGCCGGTGCCACCGTGGCTCCTGTCATCCTGTCATCTGACAAGACACAGTTGTCGCGCTTCTCCGGAGACAAGCAGGCATGGCCTGTCTATCTAAGCATCGGGAATATCGCGAAGTCCGTCCGCCATCAGCCGTCCAAGCGAGCGACCATCTTGGTTGGCTACATACCTGTCACGAAGCTTGAATGCTTCTCCAAGGGTAAGAGACGATCCCTCGAGGGATATCGACTCTTTCATGAATGCATGAAGGCGATCCTGGAACCACTTACTGTGGCTGGGAAGGCCGGTGTCGAGATGATCTGCGCTGATGGAGCTCGCCGTCGTGTCCACCCCATTCTTGCAGCATATGTGGCGGACCACCCGGAGCAATGCCTCATCTCAGGGTGCCAAGAGAACTTCTGTCCCAAGTGCTCCGTGCACTCGACGGCGCTGGGTGAGCCAGTGTACTCTGTAATGAAAGACCAGACATTAGTATGGGACTTCATACAGGAGCAAGCCCGCGGCGAGAGGTCTTTCGAGTTCAAGGAGCTAGGCCTGCGACTCATTGATCCCTTTTGGAGACACCTACCTCATTGCGACATCTTTTCCTGCATAACTCCTGACCTCCTTCACCAACTTCACAAAGGCGTCTTCAAGGACCATACTGTAGCTTGGGCGACTTCCTGCCTTGAAGGGGGAGCTGAACTTGATCGCCGCTTCAAGGCTATGCCCTCACACCCAGCTCTTCGTCACTTCAAGCATGGCATATCACTCGTTTCGCAGTGGACAGGGACTGAGTACAAGCACATGGAGAAGGTCTTCATTGGCGCTATCACTGGCGCCTCAGACCCAGATGTCGTTCGCGCTGTGCGCGCTGTTCTTGACTTCGTGTACTATGCTCATTTCGAAGCTCACACTGAAGACTCTCTCGCGCGCATGGATGCTTCCTGGGCCACGTTCCATCAGCACAAGGCTGTGTTCGTGCGCGAAGGAGTGCGCGATCATTTCAACGTTCCGAAACTTCACTCAGCTCTCCACTACGCGCTCTCTATTCGCAGGCTTGGCACCACTGATGGCTACAACACTGAGCAGTCAGAACGACTACACATCGACTACGCAAAACGGGGCTACGCTGCCTCCAACAAACGCTCGTATATTCAGCAAATGACCGTCTGGTTGAACCGTCAAGAGGCTGTGAGCCGGTTCCAAGCCTTCCTCGACTGGGCAATCTCCGCACGCACTCCTCACAATACCTCAACCTCACATACGCTGGAGGGCAGTGATGGTGATGTAGACATGGAGGATGAGCAAGCCGCTGCGGCCATGGGTGATGGAGTACCTCAGTACGTGGTTGCCAAGAATCCTGGTCTGCGGAGTGTTACAGTGCAGCAGCTTGTCCATGACTTTGGTTGTACCGATTTCGTACGCGCACTGGAGGAGTACCTCCGAGATGCCTCTCGGAGACGTGGTCAGCAATTGCCTGTTGCAGCGCAATTCATCTACAGCAGCACGCGCTTTGCGGTCTACAAACGTGTATCTGTCTTCCTCCCCCCTATGCGTCAAGTTTCGCTACTTCCAATCAAGGATGTCATTCGCGCCATGCCTGCTCAGTCCTCTCGCCCACTACGGCCAGCTGTACCTGCGCATTTTGACACTGTCTTGGTCCAAGAGCATCCGCGGAATGCGGACTCAATCAATCCACTTGAAGGTACGTCTGTGCACCTTGAGAATACTGTTCAACTCTTATATATCTCTTTTGCAGGTCTTCGTGTCGCTCGTATCAGAGCCATCTTATCCCTCCCTCTTTCATATGGAGAGAACCTCTCAAGAGACCCCGTTGCCTTCGTGGAATGGTTTACACCATTCCGAACACAGGACCCGGATACAGGTATGTTTCAAGTGTCGTATTCTACACGTAACCATCGCCGGCGAGTCTCCATGATTCCTATCACCCATATTGTGCGTAGCTGCTATCTTATACCAAAATGGGGTAAGCAAGTAGATACAACATGGATGTCTGCAAATGTCCTCGACAAGTGCACAAAGTTCTTTGTTAGCCCATACTTACGACACCATGACTTTGTACTGTATAGATACCTGTATGATCGATATGCATCATAGGGGACGTGCTAAAAGTGGTGTCGAAGAGTGCAACAAACATCGAACCTCGCACAGGTTCTGAGTCCTCCCGAGGTTAGCGGGCGTCTCGCGAGGCTCCGGAGCGCTCTCAAGCTGTGCACAAAGCTCTCGCGAGGCTTGCGAGCACGCGCGAGCGGCGCAGGGAGCTCTGGAGAAATACATTTTTCCTGATGTTCGCAATCGCATTCAATGGAGGCATGGATGACTTGGATGGTGACGCAGTAGCGTCAGACACTGATCGTGCGCTGGACATGCGAGTAGTCGTGGACTTGGGGGGCTGAAGGAGGAGAATGATCTGGCAGGAGAGAGACCGGTCGAAGCACGCTCGGATAGAGCGGAACACGATGAGAGATGGTGGTAGTGGTAACAGGCAAGGTAGTGGAGTGTCACCGCGGGCGAAGGAGCCGATCGACGCTGTGCTTGCACTGAACGCGCGGCAATTTGAGCGACAGCGAATGTAGAGGCCTCCCGGGACGGTCTCTCCTGGGCCTGTGTACATCTGGTTACATTTCAGTACGCATGTCAAAGAATGGCTATTAGATGATATATATATGGTAAGCCTCTTGTATGCAATGTCACTGCTATCAGAGTCCTTGACGGCCTTATAACATCAGGAAAACGTCACGGACTTGTACAGGTACTTGGGGTACTTGGCCAAGTACCTCAAGTATCCCAAGTACCTCAAGTACCCCAAGTCCAATGGACTTGGCCAAGTTGGGTGGGTCGACTTGGCCAAGTACCAGGTACTTGGCCAAGTCCTCCAAGTCCCTGTTCAAGTTCATGCCCAAGTTCACTGTGAGATGTATTGAATAAAGATGATATGCATGGAAGTAAATCAAAGGACAGCTGCTCTTGATCAAGGTCAAGTGTACAATATTTGTTAGTGGGTGCAGCGGCGGCAAAAAAAAAATAGCCACCACAGGGAATTGAACCAGCAACCTGCAAATTCAGTGTTCAACACAGCATGTTCAACCACTACACTACAGAAGCTCACACTA